CGGTAGCCGGGTGTCACCATTATAATGTGCACTGGGTACACGCTTTACACAACTAGCTAGACTGAGCGCGTCAGGAGACCTGTGCTGTGAGCGACCCGCCGCCTGCGGTGGAAAACAGGCCACCCCGCCATGACGACGTGCATCCATTTCACCCAGCTCGCTAACCGTCTGACGGCCAGGTAGCGACATCGAGGTAGTTACCTTGACAGCAATAGCTTGTCAACGAACAAGGAGAGAGGAGAGACTCGAGGGGTTACCAGCAATGGAACGGTGATTAGCAATGCGAAGCACGCCCCCCGCCGAGTACCCTACCTAATGATACCCTTTCAGTCATCATTCGCTAGCTCGTCGATTGGCCTCTCGGCGGAGTGGCAGGAGTCACAAGAAAACAAACCGATATGGTATTGAGACAGAATCAACCGATACCAGATGACAGCACACAGCACACACGACCCACACACACACACACACACGACACACACACACACACACACACACACAACACACACAACCACACCACCACACACCACACATACACACACATATATATATCATATATATAATATATATAAAGTAATTATATATGAGTAGCACACGTTGTAGGTCGTACACACATACTACACACACACACATATATATATTAATATATATATATATATATATATATACGAGTACGTGTGTAGGTGTGTGTACTTTAGCAAACGAACCCAAAGCTTCCGCTCTAGCGGGTTACTATAAACGACGCCGTATTGAAAAAGTAACACATCGCGCCAAGATGGCGACGGCATTAAAGGAGGCAACATTCCTTCGAACGTGTCCAGTTATGTGTGGCAACATTTTTGACATTTCTTTAACGGATCGTTTGCGACAATTATGTATACCCTCGAACAACGAATGAGGCGCTGTCATCAAACGCGTGGAAAAGTCTACTTTCCAGCTATGATTAATTGCACAAGACAGCTTACGTCTTTATATACGCGTCTACCGCGACAGCTCTTGCTCAACCGTCGAAATTCTTACATAGATCAGTAAAATATACACGCATTCCTACATCGGCACCGACTCAGATTAGAGTTTTAGTTTGCCACTCGATCTCTTTTCGTTCGCGTATACAAATAACGAAGCGAGTTCGCGAGCGCGCCTGGCGATCGCAGACCGGTCCATCTTACCATTATTTAGTTAAAACGAGTTACGTATAGTCGTGCCTCTGTAGCACATCGTCCGGGGGAGGCGTCTGCTCTGCCACATCGCCCCGGCAGGCGCTTAACCTGCCTTCCAGGAAGGCGAGCACCTATTCCGCTGTACAGTTCAGGATTGGTGCAGCGACTCCACCATGCGGCCCCCCTTAGGGGGTCGGGTACCTACTGCGCCACGCAGCCCCGCGGGTGGGGCCTACCCTCTAAACGCACCCCTTGCTGCAGTTGGCTACCTACTCTTTCGGCGGTCGGCCCACCTTTACGGCGCGCGTCGGGGGCTGGTGAGCGGGAGGGTAGAACTGAGGCTGGTAGTTCCGAGGTCCAGGAGGCATGTAATGTTCCGGCGGCGGTCCAAAACTTGTTAGCGGTTGCGGTGGTCCGTAGCCGTCCGGGGGTGGCCCCATGCCGTTAGGCCCCGGGGGTGGCCCCATGCCGTTAGGCCCCGGGTGTGGGCCTATGCCGTTAGGCCCCGGGTGTGGGCCCATGCCATTCGGCCCCGGGTGTGGGCCCATGCCGTTAGGCCCCGGGTGTGGGCCTATGCCGTTAGGCCCCGGGGGTGGCATCGCGCCGTTACGGCCAGGAGGTAGGTGGGTGTGGGTGTATCCGTCGTTTGGCGGCCGGGGTCCGTAGGGGAAGCCCTGTGGAAGCACGTGACCGCGTCCGACCTCGTAGCCGCCGCTGCCGCCGCGGGGGATGTTGAAACTCGGCGAGCCGGGCCTGCCCGGCGGCGACGGCGGCGGGCGACCCGTCTCGACGACGTAGCCGTTGCCTCGCTGCTGCTGCTGCTGCTCGTCTAGAGACATCTGTCTGACGCGCTCGCTGACACGTCGCTCCTCGACGTCGCGCTGAATGCTCTGCTCTATCGCCGTGTAGGGGTTGTCGGGCGCCGCCGTGGTCGCCGCCGCCGCCGCATGCACGTCCTGCACACTGCCCGTGCGGCTGCTCTGCTCCATCTGTATGGAGCTCGCGAACAGCTTCTCGTTGATGGCGCCTCGCTTGTAGATGCCCTGCGATGACGGGTTCGGCTGGAAGAGACTGGGATCGGGGATGTCCTCGGGGACGGCGTTCTCCGCGGCAGCATCCTCTTCGACGATGCGATCCTTGTGCTGCTTCTTCTCCTTCTTGCTGCGGTGCTTGCTCTTCGACTCGTGCTTGCGGTGCTTGCGGTGGTGGTGCTTCTGCCGCTCCTGCTCCTCCTGGTACACGTAAGCGCTGTAGCGGTCCGGTCGCTCGACGTCGAACGTTGACATCGGAACGAGAGGGCGCGCCGACGGCATGTAGGCCGGCTCCTCGACGCTGCGCCGTTCCTTGTGATGGTGCTTGTGCTTATGCTTGTGTTTGTGCTTGTGCTTCTTTTCCTTCTTGCCGCCGTCGGAGGGCGGCGACGCGTCTGCCGCCCCCGGTTCCTTCTGTCGGCCGCGCTGGCTTGGGTCTCCCCCGTGTACGAGCCTCTCCGGTGCCGCGCGATGGCTCTCCGAGTCGCTGTGCGCCGACAGGGATTCGCCGGCGCTCGCAAAGTGTCCGTTACGCGGCGAGCCGTTCGGTGACGGATACCCGTTCGCCCACACGAGCCTCTCCGAGCTGGAATAGATCGCCCGATCGCGCAGCAGTTCGGGTTGCGGTGGCGGCGGAAGCCCCGTCACCATGTACGGTCCCTCCCCTCCCGCTCGCACGCTCTCCGGGTGTGCGTAGATGACGTACGGTTCTCCGGGACCCGGCGGCACGGGCGGCGGCAGCGCCGGGTAGCGAAGCCCTTCTTCGGGGATGTTGTACATGGAGCGGCTGAGCGGCGTCGCGTAGAGTGGCTCCCCGCGCGCGTCCGGGAAGGCGTGCACGAGGTGCGGCCGACCCTGCGGCGGCAGACTACGCAGCGAGAAGCGGCCCGACGCGTCGCCGTGAATCGGGAATCCATACATAGATCCGCCTCGCTCGATGTAAGGTGCCGGCGCCAGGGGGCGCTCGGCGAAGGCGCCTGCGTCGGGGCCGCCGCCCTCGAACTTGCTGGCGGCGTACGAGTGGAAGCAGCAGCGGACGAGCGCGTTCGCCGCCGCCGCGTTGCGGCAGATGAACGCGTGACATTCGAGCACCTTCACGCCGGTGGTCCTACGCAAGATGGCGGCGAAGATCGGCGGATGCGTGTCCTTGGAGATTTCCGCAAAGCTCGAGTCGAGCGGGATGAATTTCTTCACGGATGCGCCGGTGCCCTCGAAGTTGTTGATGAGCACGAAGCGCACGGCTGCGCAGTAGTGCAGCGTCGCTATCGGATAGAAGCTGCGCGCATCCTTGCGCACGCGCTCGCCCTGCACGTACTCGAGCAGTATACCATTGCTCCAGACGCTAAGCCACGCGTCGATGCCGCGGGCCTCGGCGACTCCCGCCTCAGGGTAGCGTTCGGCGAGCGGCTGCTGCAGAGCCTGTAGCCCGTCTTTCGTCTGCGTCGGCACGGCACTGCCGATGTAGCGTACCTTGCACTTACAGATCGGTGTCGCCGGCATCGCTGCTGACGACGATGACGATGACGACGACGATGACGATGACGACGACGATGACGATGAATTAAGGGTAGTTCCTACCACATGTAAGAGTCACTAATATGTGTTAGGTGGCGGATATAGACGAACGTTGGCTTACCACTGTTACGTGAGACGGCGCTAGGGGGCCAAATATGTTTCGGAAAAAATGTTATTATTGTATTAAATATAGATATTAGATATCGAAGTTGCCTAGGCCTACTTCTCACGAGATACCTTCCTGTGATATTCGTAGTCACCTCAGCTGTGCCGACGACGACGATAGTTGTAGCCACCCACTACGGTCGTTTCCCGACGACGACGACGACGACGACACTGGCGATGGCGGCGCGTCGCCTCGCGCGCAGTACATACAGCGGTCGGCTAAGCATTCAGGTTCGCCTCACTCATCGCAGAGCAGCCTGGTGTACGTGGCTGCCGAGATCCGGCTCCCATGCCCTCCTCACATCAGCATGTAGAGAGAGAGTCCGAATATATATATATATATATATATGAATATATATATAGAGAGAGAGAGGGAGCAATGTTCCGTCGCAGATCAGGCGCAGGCGTCTCCTGCGTATGCACCGACGTCGGGCTGGCACGCACAGAGGACTGATGGCGCTCTGTCGGCCCGCGCGTGGACGTGGCAGACCTCGCTCGCTCGCTCGCTCGCTCGCTCTGTCCGTGAGCTGGTTTGCTAATGCGTGCACCCCTGCGGCGACGCGACGACCTTTTGGCACAGTTAGAAAAATGTCCACCAGCGCCGGACCGGGCGACGGCTGCGAACGCGAGACGAAAAATGTCGGATGGAAACGAACGCGGGTGTTGCCTATTACATTACAGGACTGGCGTGGTTGGTCATGTCGTACGGATGACGATCTGAAACGCGCGTACTTACACACACACACGCACGCACACACACATACACACACACACGCACACACGCGCGCGGGCACACACAAGGAATATTCGCACTCGCTAACTAGCAGCTAGTAGTTGGTGCGGGGGCGGGGAGGGCGCGTCGGATGCTGTCGACGCTTTTCACTTTCCTTCGCCGACGTCGCGCGCTTGTGTTGAACGCTCCGTAAACTTCCGTCGGCGGGATTGCAAACCCGACGACTACCCGCGTCGAGAAGCACCGCCAGGGGGCGAGTAATACCCGACGAACAAGAGCCGACGTTGTGCGACGTGTCGGCTGCGTGGTGGAAGCCGATCTGCCCCCGTCGGGCCCCGTCAGTGGTGGCCCCCGAAGCGAGGTAACTAGCCTCTGAGAGACGGAAACCGGTTGCGCGGTAGGCCGGCGCGCGGGCCTTTCAGGCGGGCGGCGTGCGAGAGTGCCGAACCCGGGGCAATAACAATCTAAGCGCATTATCATCAGTCATGCTCACTCTCCTCCTCTTGTTCCTCTCCCTACCTCCCATTCGCTCGCCTCCTCTCTCTCGCGCGCACTTCCCCCTCTCTATCTCTCACTCCCGCTGTTGCTCTCGCGCGAACTTCCCCCTCTCTATTTCTCACTAACGCTGTTGCTCTCGCGCGCTTTCTCTCTCTCTCTCTCTCTCTCTCTCTCTCTCTCTCTCTCTCTCTCTCTCTCTCTCTCTCTCTCTCCCTCTCTGCCCCTCTCGTAGTAGCCGGCAACAACACACGTACACAAACACACCTGACGCGCACTCACTTCGAATACGTATTACGCGGCCTCCTCACGCTAAAATAACCTGCGTGTACAGTAGTGCTACGATGGATGGTACATCTACACACGTAGTCTCAAGGTAGCCTCACGTTAGTATTGGTGATGTCTCACCAGGATCTTAACGAGGTCTTGGTGGAAGTATTTGCGTTGTTCTTTCACTGTTTGACCCATGGTTTTGCGACAGTAGCATTCTGGTTTCACTGTTGGCTCATCGTAGTTCTAGAATGATCTCACTAGAGTCTCTCTTTGTTCTCCCAGGGGCCGCGGCGTATAGTTTAGTCCTTTTCGCCTTTTGTCTAACCATGGACTCATTCAGATCTCAACGTAGTCTCAACTATAGAAAAATCCCATCCTCGTCGAGCTGTGCAGACGCGCGATGGTCACGAATTCGTAATCACTTCGCTACAGTGGTATACAGTGACTCTCGAGAAGTTTGCGTCCGAGTTTCTCCTTTCAAAAGGGCGCACACGGCTATGCTCGCGGGAACCAAGATTATCATCAAAGCTACGTCTGTGGCCGCATCAAATATTGAAATGAGACGAGCGCCGGCGTCGTTGACCTCCGAGGTAACAACCACCGGCTTTGTTCGATGGGCCCCGTCTACACACCCGGTTCCGCAATTCGGAGATACGGCCCGTTTTTTACGGTCAAAAATCTTCAAATCGAGTTGTCGGGAAAAATGTGAAAAGCAAACAAACAGAGCAAAAAAACGAGTTGGGGGCTTATGTCAATCCGCGTTTGGTTGCGAAGGACACAATTTAGTATCATGGCGTCGACAATGTCTGTCATGACTTGCTATGGGAAGTCAACGTAATGGTGCACTCGAGGACTTCCTGACTTGCGAAGGTGAAATCGTAATGGCCATAAATGCGCTGGTAAACGAACGCGTGCACATGCTATTAAAAAAGTGCGTCACACGTTGCCTGACGTTAAATAATGATCCGGTCTCATCGCGTTTATTCAATATAACGACTTGTACAGGTAAACAGCGACGTGGAATAGAGTAGTAGTAGCCGGAGTAATACTAGTAGTAGTAGTAGTAGTAGTAGTAGTAGTAGTGTAGTAGTTGTAGTTAGTAGTATAGTAGAAGTGAGTAGTAGTAGTAGTAGTAGGTAGAGGTAGTAGTAAGCAGCAGCAGCAGTAGCAGTGCAGTAGCAGTTGTAATTCGCAGTCAGTAGTGCCAGTAGTCAGTAGTAGTGTAGTGAGTGGTGGTGGGTGGTGCGTGGTAGTGGTGGTGGTGGTGTGGTGTGGTGGTGGTGGTGGTGGTGGCTGGTGGTGGTGGTGTTGTGGTGGTGTGTGGTGTGCCTGTGGTGATGGTGGTGGTGGTGGTGGTGGTGTGGTGGTGCGTGCGGTGGCTGGTAGTGTTGGTGGCGTGGTGGTGGTGGGTGGTGGTGTGGATGGTGTGTGGTTGGTGGTGGTGTGGTGGTGGTGGTTGTTAGTGGTAGTGGTGGGTGGTGAGTGGTGGTGTGGTCGGTGGTAGGTGGTAGGTGGTGGTGGTGGGGTGGTGGTGGTGGCGGTGGTGTGGTGGGTGGTGTGAGTGGTGGGCGGCTGGTGCTACGCTGGTGGTTGTGGTAGGTTTAGTAGCAGGAGCAGCAGGCAGCAGCGCAGGCAGTAGTAGCAGTAGTAGTAGCAGCAGCGAGTAGTTAGTAGTAGTGAGTAGTAGTAGTAGTGTAGTAGTAGTAGTAAGTAGTAGTAGGCAGCAGAGTAGTAGTAGTAGTAGTAGTAGTTGTACGCGTATAGTAGTTGTTAGTGTAGTAGTAGTATGTAGTGTAGTAGCAGTAGTGTCGTAGTTAGAGTATAGTGCAGCACGTTTCCCAACATTACTATTACATTACAACACAACACAACATTACATTATCTAGGTACACAACCTACATCATCATACATTCATTACATTACATTACATTACATTACATTACATTACATTATTACTATCTAGGTTACACAACCTACATCATCATACATTCATTACATTACATTACATTACATTACATTATTATTCTAGATAATTACAACCTAGATTCCGTGGTATTTGGGATAAAAGATGCGATGTGATTTTTTTGTAGCCATGCGATGGCGCCGCATGCATACACAGTTATAATATCCGCTCTCTGGGGAATTATAAGTAGCGCAATTACATTCTATTTAATCGCTGACCCATGGAGTTTGTACGCAGAAGCACAATGCTACGTGGATGTGCTGTGAGATAAACCATGATATAGAGAATTCAGCGCACGTATTGTACACACACACACACACACACACACACACACACACACACACACACACACACACACCACACAACACAACACAACACACATATTGCTTCTAAAGGCAACCTTCTTGTATTCATGCATTAAGATTTTTAAACGCAAATTTTAACAATCCGTAAATAAGCATTTTTTCCGTTCTACAAACCGTGTACGATGAGAGATCTTGGTCCTAAATAGCTTGCTCATATTATAATGTAGGTGCATATGCTACAGGCTGGTTCGTGGTACGCGCCACGTGCATCTGCAGGCAACACGCGCACGCACACGCGCACATACAGGCACCTCGCAATTGCACAGCTGCGCGCACGACACAGCCACAAAGTGAAAATTATGCTGGTATATGGCTACTTTATTCTATCCAATCTTTGATTGTGCCAAAATAATTGCTTTGAATATGTTTTTATTACTGTGCAATCCTGTATGTGTCACATATTTGGATCAGCTATGTGGTGTAATGTATGTACGTGTGTAAAATCTGAAAATAAAAATTAAAAAGATAAAAAATTATGCTGGGTTCTTCACCATTACCTCGCGGTAATTTACGAGACTTCACATTCGTCGTAGAGCGAACATTTCGTTGAACATAATCGTTTAATCGTTACTCATCATGACAGGAACGTCGCAAACCGCTGTGTGACATACAACGAGCATGTGGATTTTTTCTTGGACGGAGATCGAGATGGAGAGAGAGAGCAGAGGGGAGAGAGCGGCGCGGATGAGAGGAGAGAGAGAGAGAAGAGAGAGAGAGAGAGATGGAAGGAAGGAAGGTGAAAGAGAGTTTATAGCTCGTGCCGAATTGTGGGACGTCACAGCGCTCCAGCCGTCCCGCTCGTATCTCGAGCTGTCAACCTGCAGAAAAGAATATAAATTATATATATATATATATATATATATATATATATTATTATATTTACGTCATATATATATATATATTATATTAGCGATCTATTATATATATGACGTGTGCCTTCAGCGATCCATCGCAGTGAGAAAGAAACGGATATTATTCGGCGCGTAAATCATCTACGTTACGATTTACGAGCAAGGATCGTAAAGTATCTTCGTAGCGATGTAGCCGCTCTATGGACGCGCTGTGCTGCATTCCTCTGTACTTTGTGCATAATATGTGAACGCTGCTTTTCTCCTTTCGCCCTTTGCTTTCGCTTCACCGCCGTGATGTGTGTGAATATTCTTTCGTGTTCGTCTACACTTGTAATTACTGATGTGACGCCCTGCCTTGGTATTGTGCAAAATGCATTGCCGCGGGTGGGGCTAGGCCTGCCGGCTATACAACCACACCACACACACAGCACACACACACACACACACACACACACAACACACACCACACACAACACACACACACCACTTGCAGCGCGCACGCACACACACACAACACAACACCAGCCTTGCGCGACACGCACACATACCAACACAACACCACAGCACACACACCACAAAACCACACACAACATATATATATATTATTATAATATATATATTTATATATTATATTATGTAGCTTAGTTTGCAGGCATACATTTTCAGCGTTGCTGTTTATGGGCGGCATGGCATCTCAGCCACCACGGCGGCATCCGTCATGTGCTGCTTCCGACATAGAATTATAATAGATCTAATAAATGTTGTTTGTTAATCGGATTTTAATAATATATTTAATTAATAATAATTTATTTATCAGGCTCGGCCGACATGGTATCCGATTAAATCAAATGAAATTACACAATTGTGATGCGTTTACGCGGTGTAGCGCAATTCGCGTGCACAACATAGGACAACTGCGCTAATCCTTTTCACTCTGCACGGGCTGCGCAGACGGACAGTGACGGAGTTGTGCATGACTATATAGTAGACATCGGTAAATTTATGGCTGCCGCCGATCATTGCGTAGAAAAGAAATGTGTGCACACGCAAGATGCTGCGTTTGAATATAGGCTGCTCCTGCGACTAACAGCTCCGCCCGGTGAGGTAACATCGTAAGAGGTATAGAAGAAGGTTGAGGTAGCCGTGTACGTCACCTCGCCTAGCATGCCTGCTTACGTCTGCAGAGAGAACGTGCGTATGTGCTGTGACGTTCACCGCTTTAGCATCCCTCCTTAGTCTGCCAGAGAAGAACGTCGCGTAGCAGTGACGTCACTCGTCTAGCATCCCTGCTTACGGTTCTTCCATGAGACAGAACGGCGCTAGCCGTGACGTACCGCTAGCATCCCTGCTAAGCGGCGCACACGTGGAGATTTTTGTCGACATGACCGGCGATTCTGTCGCCCAGCACAAAATCGGCCGAGAAATCGCACGTGCTGCTCGCTGCCGGCGCCAGTCACCGATTTTGACGCCAGAAACCTCGTCGCTGATGCGAATACTAAATCATGTTTGATATCTTGTGCCCAAGTCGCTGAAGCAATCGCTACTGTGCTGTGCGCCGGCGCCCAAAAAAAAAAAAACTTGCGGAATGGAATCCGGCAACGTTTGGATTACCATCAATGCAATGAATTGTGAAGCACTGTGCATCAAAATATTGGGAGCGCCCGATCGGTGTGGTTTGAACAGGTCAGTACCAGTCATACATGGTAATGTCTGCTGACAGCGATTGATTGTCGCCGGGTGGCGGCACACGTGGCGGATTTTTCATCGACGTTACTGGCTTATTTAAAAATCGACGGTCACGTCGATAAATCGCCAGTGTGGCCGCGGCGCTTTTACGTCTGCAGAGAAGACGGCGCGTAGCGCTGGTTCACTTCGCTTAGCATCTTGCTTACGTCTGCAGAGCAAGAACGGCGCATAGCCGTGAGTCACTCGCCTAGCCTTTCCTGCTTTACGTCTGCAGCAGAAGGAACGGGTCGTTGCCGGTGACGTCACTCGCCTAGCATTCATGCCTTACGTCTGCAGAGAGAAGGCGCATAGCCGGGTGAGTCACTCGCCTAGCATTCTGCGCTAGTCTGCAGAGGAGGAACGGCGGCGTAGCCGTGACGTCACTCCTGTCATATTCTAGATTAAGTTTCGTTGTTCTTCATTACGAGGTAGAGAAAACTGGCCAACAATGGGTCAGCACTTGCCCGCATTGCGTGGCTGCTTGCGTGTGATCACTGTGATTGTGTCTTGCTCCATGGTCATATATTAATTACAGTGGCCAGCAGATGTCGCTGTTAGGGCTTTCATATGCAGGTCACGATATATAAAGGCGTCGCATATTACCTTAATATGTCCGCGGTAAGAACTGGATTGTGCATCTTGGTTGAATTATTGAGACTTTGCGCGACGCGTACTTACATGAGGTCTCTGTTAGAATTCTTGAAGTATAGTGTCGATTGAACAGCGCGACACCTGGTAGGCGTTACAAGCGCCTCTGGCTTGTTATCCGCTGGACTTTAAGGCACGGCCATTGATATAAAATATAAATCTCAACCGTTTATAAACACCGTGTTTATTATATATATATATATATATATATATATATATATTGAAAATGTGCATTCGGTCCTTACCTAACAATTACGTCTTAAAACCCATTTCCATGATGAATTACGATTACCTTATTTCACGAGCAACACATTCGAGCTTGTGCACACATATATATCAATTGGCCATTTGTCATCAAGTAGTTTACCTTAAAAAAAAAATAGGTGCTAGTCGTGAGAATGGTGAAGCATGCATATGCATCACAATCAGTCAGCGCTGAACTAGATTTGCAAACGACGGGGTAGCTCTAGTTGAATCGCACGTATACGCAGCGTTGCGACGTATATGAACAGCTATACGACAAAGCCTAAAACTGGAACAATGTGGCACAGACTGGTGATTCCGCTGTCGCGTGTATTGTTGATGATTAATATGGAATTATTGTTGTTTTCTGCTTCCCACTTCACGCGCTCGTGAAACAAAGAGCGATGCCCTGGAGGTAATGTAGCGAATCTAATGATGCACGGTTAGTAATATGCGACTTCGCCGACTGTTCAGCGCGCTCATTGTGTTTTAGTCAAAAGCCAAACGCGAAACGCACGGAAAGCCGTGGTAGTTATAATCGATATCATAATCGATAGTTATAATCGATGTAAGGGTAGTGAACGAGTGGGGGGGGGGGTCTGAGTGTCTAGTCAGCCGCGCTAGAGTATAGATTACTAAATGTTTCCGCAATGATAGAGCTGAGAACAGCTTGTTGCTTCGACCATGCAACTGTCCGCGTTGCTCAAGGCTATATGAGTGTAACAAAGCAGAGGCCGTATACAGTATCAGTGTTCGGGGGAGGATCCATCGTGAGGGAGCATACCGGTTATACGTGTGTGAGACCCTAGAGCCAAGCTCCCCGCAAATACAAATACGGGGATACTCCAATTTTGGGTGATACTCCATTAGGAGTGTTCCCAACTTTAATGTCATTAAATTCATATTATTTAATATGTCATTATATGTCATGGTCATATATTAGTTTGTGGTTTAATGTCATTTAGGTTAAGGTTAGGGTTAGGGTTAAGGTTAGGGTTAGGGTTATTAATCATTAATCATTAATCATTAATGATGTTAAAGTTGGGGACACTCCTAATGGAGCGTTAGCCCACATTTTTCACTACGTACAGTAATTACGGTGCTGCTCTTTCGCTAATTTATTTGATTTCGTTTCGCTAACTGATAATAATTTGAACGTTATCTTCATTATTCTTCCATAATTAATTACTTCAGTATTTTCACCAGCTCGTTCATCAGTCTTTGAGATTAGCATCGCATATATAAATTAGTTCTGAAGAAAGCTAACTAATTAGCGCCGATTAAAACACTAACATGCGCTGATGCTCTGCGCTAACTCCATGACTGTTAAATTGACTACGTCACGAATTTTCTATGGTGTATTTAGTAAAAATTTTGTTGTTATTTTTTAAGTACTAACGGGACTAAATGTATCGTCAAATACTTACCTGATAAGATTGTTTCTCACCTAGTTAAAAATCCAAAAAATCTGGACGATTTGATATTATGATCCTGACATTAATTGCTTGCTATGGGCTATGTATGAGTCACGAGCGTATATGTTTACATCGAACAATATAGTAAAATAGGAAGTATAATGCAGCAATTTAACCATAAAAAGTGAACAGAATTACTTACATTTTGTGAAAAAGTGGAAATTATATTTTTATTTTTACTATTTACGGGGACGTAATCACTTTAACACGGTCACCCCCACCCCTCTGTGTACATTTCTGGGTCCGCCCCTGGTGTTAGTCTCGGCGACCCCTCTGGGCGCTGTGTTCTCACCGTATTCAGATCTCATCGATCATGATAGACAGTGAGGCGGAAGATGATATCGGGCCTGCGGAGGATGATCGTGATATGGCGGCGGCGGCGGCGGCGGCGGCGGCGTGCAGAGAGCTCCGACACTCCAGCGGGGACAGGTGAGGCGGAGATGTGAGGGCAGTCTCTGGTGTGCGAAACACACCCGACCGCATTCCTCTCGCTCTCTCTTAGAGAGAGGGAGAGCGAGAGAGAATTAATAATATAGAAAAATATAATCTGTATATAATTTTTTATTTTGTGAGGTTTCCAGAACACATGTCTCTTCCTCAGGATATACAACAACAACATATAGCTTGAGGAAGAGACATATGTTCTCGAAAGATTGCAAAATAAAAAAAGGACACCTTATTCTATTTGTCTATATTATAATAATGTATATGTACATGGGTGTCCGTGTGTTTTTATGTCTACACACACACGCACGCACACACACACACACACACACACACACACACACACACACACACACACACACACACACAGAGAGAGAGATTGCTTTCTAAAGGCAACCCTTCTTGTATTCATGCCATAAGATTTAAACGCAAAATTTGTAACAAATCCGTAATAAGCATTTTCCGTTCTACACAACCGGTACGATGAGAAGATCTTGCTCCTAAATAGCTGCTACACTATATAAGTAGGCTCGCATATGCTACAGGCTGGGTGCGTACGCGCACGTGCACGCAGGCACACACGCGCACGCACACGCGCACATACAGGCACGCATGCACACGCGCGCACGCACACACGCACAACAAAGGAAAATTATGCTGGTATATGCTACTTATATTCTTCCCAAATCTTTGAATATGATCCCAAATATGCTTTGAATATGTTTTTATTACTGTGCAAATCCTGTATGTGTCCACATATTGGATCAGCTATGTGTGTAAATGTATGTACGTGTGTAAAATCTGAAAATAAAAATAAAAAAATAAAAAATTATGCTGGTTCTTCACCCAATTACCGCGTAATTACGAGACTTCACATCTCGGTAGAGCGAACATTCGTTAACATAATCGTTAATCGTACTCATCATGAAGCGTCGCAAACCGCATGCGCGACAACAACCCGCGCAGCGGATTTTATTCAGAGAGAGAGAGAGAGAGAGAGAGAGAGAGAGAGAGAGAGAGAGAGAGAAAGAGAGAGAGAGATGGAAGGAAGGAAGGGAGAAAGAGAAGTTTATAGGGTGCCGAGTTGTGGGACGTCACAGCTCAGCGTCCCCGCTCGTATCTCGAGCTGTCAACCCTGCAGAAAAGAATATAATTATATATATATATATTGCACGCCACGAGAGAGCGATGAGGCTGAAAGAGGGGGAAAGACGAGGAGCAGGAACAAGAGAGAAAAACAAGCTATACTTACACGACTAGCGGATAGGTGTTGAGAAAGTCAATATGTAGCAGAAGTGGGGGTAATCCTGCTTGAGTAAGAAACGAGAATAAAGGAGTGAGAGGGAAGATTGTTGGATTAAAGGAGCGGGAAATCCTATACTGGTACCTCATGCGAGGATCAGTGACGTAAAAACGGGTACACTACAAATTTGTTTGGTTATAAAAGTTTAATAATTATTTCCGCGTATATTACATATAGTAGATTACGGAGTACGTTAAAATACCGTAGCGTATATTACATAGTTTACAAAATACAAAATGTTAAAATATCGTAGTAACCATTCCTATCAGCTAACAAGCGATGCTGTTTTATACATGCACGATTGCAGCACCTATATATTATTTTATTATTACATTTATCACTAATGAAGTAAGTGAAACTAATGACTGTATTCAAATAATTAATATCACCATGTATTAGCTCTGTAAGTATCAGTCTTGCTACAAGGACGAAGGTAGTGAATGCACAGTACGTTGTTCAGGGCGTCGCACGAGTTGAGTTCTTGGTTTCTGTCGAATCGCCTACTTCCCGCCCTTCATTCTGTTCTTCAATTCCCGCCAGTAGATGGCGCGCTCGTGCATGACGCGCGAGTCTGCGGTGAAGCTTCTATTCTCGACCGCGCGGCGGTAGAGGTACGGCAGAGTGTCGTACACGGGACCGTACGGTATAGACTTGTACACCTTGTACCCCTTCTGGCCTATACGGGACAAGCAAAAAGTGCCGCTTACTGACGAAAGAAGCTCTCGGCAAAAGCCTAGCGCAGACTTGCGACTTTTTCATGCAACTCAGCTGCGATTCTAGAATCGCAGTCGAAATTGCTGTGAAATCGCTACGTCTGCAGGAACGTGCAACTGCGACTCGTAGCGATTCTGGTCGCTTGCAACGAGTTGCAAGAAATCAAACTGATTTGATTTTCAGCAACTCGTCGCTCCCAATCATTCCGAAATCGCTTCGAAATCGCATGTGTGCGGGTAGACAGCGACTTGCATGCGCACACATGGTGACGCGTGCGACCGATCGCATGCGGTTGCAGGTTGCAGCGACGAGCAACCAAGAGTCGCAAGTCTGCGCTAGGCTAAAGTGAGACGGTTCATCGCTATTTTCCCGCCGTGCTCGCGTGGTGACATTCAGCACTACTCTAATGAGGTTACCCAAACTCCACGACAGATGGCGCTCTCGCTCTGGCTCAATTCACCGAGTATACTGAGTTGTACGAAGGGGGCGCTGCATGCAGTTTGGAGGTAGGGTTACCTTGTGGGTAGTGTACACGCGTGTAATCGCGACATAGATGCTTAGTGCACTTGCATACGTACCCAGGGCACATGATAGATGATCACACATCCCCATCACTTGACCGAAATTCACCCAGTCAGTTTGCTTGTCAATGCCCAGCTCGGTCATCCTACGGGTCGAGAAGAGAGCCATTAGTAAATGGGAGGGGGGGGAGGGGCAGTAAAATGCTTAAAAACATACAATAACGCAATAATTATTGTTGCCTACACTGTCCATGTTTTATGTATGAATATTATGAATAAGATAATGACTTTCAATGTCTCAACTTTAATGACTCACACACAATTAATCACCGATAGCTGGTAAGCGCAATAATGCTGTGGAAGAAACTGTCTGTCGGTCTGTCTGTCGTCGTTGTCATCGTCGTTGTCATCGTCGTTGTCATCGTCGTTGTAATCGCCATCGTCATTGACAACGCCATTTCTGTCGCTACCTTCGTCAGTGTCGTCGTAGCCATCGTCATCGTTGGCGTCATACACCTGCCTGCTCAGTGCGTAGTTGATGGAGTTCTCGTTGTGCGTGGCGACCATGATGCTGCAGCGTGGTCCGACCTCCGAGATCTTACCAAGCATCGTCTCTAGCGCCCCCTGGTAGGCGAGACTCGTAGCTTCGAACGAGTCGTAAATGGGGTCGGGTACACCTTTCTGCTTCGCCAAGTCCCTCTCCTGTTGGTGTACAATATATTATGATATGATATAATATGATATAATATGATATAATATGATATAATATAATATAATTACGTCGTAGTTACCACGGTCATACCCTCATGCGATCATGCGTTCGTGCGTATGTGCGTGCGTGCGTGCATGCGTGCGTATGTGCGTGCGAGCGTGCGTCTGTGTGTGTGTGTGTGTGTGTGTGCGTGCGTGCGTGCGTGCGTGTCTGTGTGTGTGAGCATCACGCGTTAAGCAACACTAAAACACATGTTGACAAACGCCGTCATATTTGCGATGCCATGTTGGTACAGTTGCTATACAATAAAAAATGTAGGCGCCGCTTTCCTCCATTTGCTTGCCTTTGTAACACAAACACTAGAATTAGTGGCGCTAATGGCGATAATTGCTCTTTGTAAATACCATAATATTATCGCAAGAGAATCATCAAACAACTATTTCGCGCGTGTCAACTGCCTTTTGTGTCCGTGCGTCGGGTAAACATGAAAGGTAGCGATGGCTTATCTGCGCATGCGTACAGGATCACGTGTTGACCATATCTGAGTTACCGTCCGTCCTCTATCTCACTAGCTCCCCATCGTATGAGAATTCGTGTTAACATTGTACACGTTGTAGCATCATGCGACGTAGTAGGAGAGTATGGGAAAGTTGTACTGGGGATGAGCAGGAGCAGCAGCAGCAACAGCAACAACAACAACACCATCAGCAGCAGCAGCAGCAACAACAAAAACAACAACACCAGCAGCAACAACAACAACATCATCAGCCACAACAACACCACTACCACTACCAGCAACAACAAAAACATCATCAACAACAACAACACCACCACCAGCAGCAGCAGCAGCAGCAAGAACAACAACAACATCAGCAGCAGGAGGATGATGATCGGGTGATGAGAGATGTGGAGGCAGCGACCGCGGAAGAAGACAACCTGTACGACGCGCTGCGACCACTGCTCAGATGCATGAAGCTGTTCGGGATGTGGCCCGTGAGAGAGACGCCGCCGGGAGACGCCCGCGCGCCGCAGGGATGCTGCGCTGCCGTCTACTCCGCCGCCATCTTGCTGGGATTGCTTGGAATTCTCGCCCATGTCATTGTAACACAGTATCAGCTCTACGCCTATCAAGATCTCGCCAGCTCGCTATGGTTAGCCTGGGTG